AGTACAAAAGTACTAGAAATCATTGTACTACCGTATAGTGTATTTTGTACTAGAAATCATTGTACTACAGTATAGAGCATTTTGTAGTGAAAATCATTGTACTACAGTACAAAAACTTGGTACTACAGTATAGAGCATTTTGTACTGAAAATCATTGTACTACAGTATAGTGTATTTTGTACTAGAAATCATTGTACTGCAGTACAGCGTATTTTGCAGTGAAAATAATTTTACTATAGTACAAAATATTTGTGCTACAATATAGAGTGTTTTGTACTGAAAATCATTGTACTACCGTGTGGTGTATTTTGTACTAGAAATCATTTTACTACAGTATAGTGTATTTTGTATTGAAAATCACTGTACTACAGTACAGTGTATTTTGTACTGAAAATAATTGTACTATGGTACAAAATTTTTGTGCTACAGTATAGAGTATTTTGTACTGAAAATCATTGTACTGCAGTAGAGTGTATTTTGTACTGAAAATCATTGTACTACAGTATAGTGTATTTCGTTCTGAAAATCATTGTACTACAGTATATTGTATTTCGTACTGAAAATCATTGCACTGTAGCACCAAATTTTTGTACTACAGTATAGTGTATTTTGTACTGAAAATTTTTGTACTATAGTATAGTGTATTTTGTACTGAAATTCACTGTACTATAGTACAAAATTTTTGAACTACAGTATAGCTTTTTTCTTGCTAATATATATTGTACTACAGTATATTTTTTTTGTCCTAGAATATAGTGCATTATGCTATACTATACTCACAACCATTTATCGCTAACATATCAAATTTCAAAAGATCGTTCAAAACAGTTCCCGAAAGAAAAGTGTGAATTTTTTTTGCCCATGCAATAGGTACTTTCATATAGATTCACATGACATAGGTGAATGTAGGCGACATTTTCTAGTTTGACCGCACCAGAGTGTCAAATTTGGGTGTTTTTTCATATGCAGTTTTCGCTAACATACCAAATTTCAAATACCGTTAAAAATAGTTTCCATAAGCAGAATTTGAATTTGTTTAGTTTGCTTGAAAGGTAGTTTTATATTGATTCATGAAATGCCCACAAAAATATTTTCTTTTTTTTAATATGGACGGATTAGGCTTTCAAACCAACTATATCTCAATTGTAATTATTTAACATGAGCTCTGTTAAGTCGTTAACAGAGGTATGTTAACAGAAATGGTAGGTGTCTTTACTAGTTAAATTCGAATTTATCTTCACACCCTTTAAAAAATATATCTGTCAAAAGTCTTCCATAAATATTAAACCACATTCTGGGCCTTTCGATTGATTTATGTGCCCATGGCGAACTCTTCGAAATATGATTCGAGTAAAACTGAATTAAGTTAATTAGTAATTGACAGGATGTCGTTAACTACTACTTACGCTACTGACGAGAAAGCAGGAAAATTAGCACTCCTCGGACAAAACTACGCTACCTAACGTCAGCTATTCCTAAAATTTACCGTTTACGACTTAACATTTTCTATTCTGTTCTGTGATATTATGTCACGTCTGCTGTTATGCTTTAGTCGGGCAAGTATATAGTATATTAGTATATATTTTGATATATTTCGTATATCTTACAACTGTAATATGCCAGAAAAATAATCGTATAATATGGTAACTGGCATTGGAGCATACGTTAGGGAACTAACAGTCCAGTACGCACAGATATATAAAATAATAATTCTAAAGAGTAACTTTTAAATAAAACAAAATAAACAAAACCACA